AGCCCTCATTGTTGTTTGGCGGGCCCAGGCTGGGGATTCGAACCCGCCACCTTAGGTGTATGTGGCTGGTGCCTTAGCTGCTTGAGCCACAGGCACCGAGCCTGGCAAAGCTTTTCTTACCCACTGAGACAAGGTTGCTGTAGGTCTCCAGCATCACATCCCGGTATAGGGTCCTCTGAGCAGGATTCAGCCCATGCCACTCCTCTTGGGTGAAGCCCACAACCACATCTTTGAATGACACAGGTGTCTGTTTAAACTGAAATGACAATGGGTCACATGGGAAAATGTTCAAGGGGGATTGGTACTGATTTTTACAATAGTCATAAGGCAGGCCTTACCCTGATCATTTATCTATCTAGGATGCCTCTTCCATTCTTGGCTTTGTGTTACATATGGTGGGAAAAATGAAAATCATGTTGAAGGCACCTACTGTTGTCATTCATACTTTGAGTCAATAAACGTCGAAGACCCTCTGTGTGTCTGGCCTAGTGTTTTTTTTTAGAGACAGAGTCTCACTTTATTGCCTTTGGTAGAGTGCTGTGGAGTCACAGCTCACACCAACCTCCAACTCCTGGGCTTAGGCGATTCTTCTGCCTCAGCCTCCCAAGTAGCTGGGACTACAGGTGCCTGCCACAACGCCTGGCTATTTTTTGTTGCAGTTTGTCCAGGGCTGGGCTTGAACCCTCCACTGGAGGGCATTCTTGAAACCAAACCCTCGGTGTATGGGGCCAGCACCCTACTCACAGAGCCACAGGTGCCACCCTGGCACAGTGTTTTTGAGTAGTTGTCATGAGAAACAAAGTGGGGGAGCTCTATCCCAGGCATGAAGGAAGGAGGACTTCAGTGACTGTAATAGACACACTGCAGACAGGTAAATACTGCCATTATCCCCACATTATGAAAAAGAAACTAGAGCACAAAGAGGTTTAATGACTTGTCCAAGATCACACAGCTTTTTAGGACTGGGATTCAAGCCCAGCAGTCTAGTTCCAGGGTCTGTGCTCTTAACTACTACTCTGTCCTGCCTTTTATACTAAAGAAGGGGGTGAATGATACTCTAAGTCAGCAGAACAATCAAAACATATCCTCTGATTTCAGCCTCAGCCAGATTATCTGGTAAGTGTGAAGACACACTGCTGGACTTGAGAAAGAATAAGAAACAGGATGTGCTCATGCCTGTAATCCCAGCACTCTGGGAGGCTGAAGTGGGTGGACTGCTTGAGCTCATGGGTTCAAGACCAGGCTGACCCATCTCTACTAAAAATAGAGGCAAGAGGATCGCTTGAGCCCAAGAGTCTGAGTTCGCTGTGAGCTATGACGCTAAAGCACTCTACCCAGGTCAACAGCTTGAAACTGTCTCAAAAAAAAAAAAAAAAAAGAAGAAGAAAGGAAGGAAGGAAGAGAAGGAGGGAAAGAAAAGAAACAGGATTTGCAATTATCAAGCAGGGAAATTGCTTCAGGAGATGAAGGTGGCTAGGGGAGAAAAGAAAAGATTTGTGGTTTGGAAGTGGTAATGATTTCTAAGGTTGGAGGCACTGACAATGGCTGCAGGGATTGGGCAAAAGACCTAGGAAAGACTGAGAGAGCAGGCTTTCCAGAAAGTGGGGTCCTGCTTGAGGAAGACCTTCAAGGAGGTAGGAATGCAGAAACTCAGGGCCAAGGGGGAAGAGTGAGTTTGTCAGGACACAGGGCATCTAGGAGCTGGGAACTCCTGAGACAGAGACTTGCTAGGGAATAAGATGCTTAATTGTTTGTTGCCAAACCAGCACAGACATACAAGGGTGATAACAGTAATTTAAATGCTGGGCAGCACATCTGTTCCTCAGTCTAGATCAAGCTACAGATACAAATCAAATACAGATACAGATCAAATTTAGGACTTGAGTAAATGTGGAGGAACCCTCCTGAATCCCCCAAAAGAAACCGTTCGTATTCTCACATTCTTCTTATTAGAATTTAGCATTTCCATTACACATACAGATCACAGATCACAGAGGAATTAGAACCTGTTATGACTCTGATGCAGAAAACACTATCGTATCATTGGGGGAGCTAGGACCTGATGGTTTAGGTCACCTGAAGCAATGGGAGTTTTGCCTTGGGGCTAAAATGCTGCTTCCCAGGGAAAAGTTAAAAAATAACCCAACCTGCTTCTGCATTTATTAGTTATTGTTAAGTATTTTGTCTATGATCACTATCAGTGCTTTTCATACATTCCTGTACAGAAAGATCACCCAAAGCCTTTAATTTTTTCTTTTTTTTTCAAACAGGGTCTTACTCTGTCAACCTCGGTTGAGTGCCATGGTGTCATAGCTTGTTTTTTCTATTTTTAGTAGAGATGGGGTCTCACTCTTGCTAAGGTTGTTCTCCAACTCCTGAGCTCAGGTGATCCCCACACTTTGGCCTCCCAAAGTGCCAGGATTATAGGGGTGAGCCACCACACCCAGCCTACTACTATCCACCCACATATTACCCCAGCCAGCAGCGTGAGCCCTGCCATTCTGTATCTCTAACAGGCTCCCTGGAGAAGCCCATGTCCCAGGATCACACTGTGAGAAGCAGCGCAGCTCTGCCTTGGCCATGAGAAAGCCTCTCAGGGAAATACCTTCAGAAAGTACCTTGAAAAGTTCATTTTCCCCTGCAGATAACAATATGCTTCTTCCTACTCCCAGTGTAAATCAGGGGCTAACGTATTTGCCTTTCCGTTGAACTACCAGGAAGATTACAGTTACTGACTTTAGGTGGACTCTCTACTTTGTACATCTATATTCTGACAAAGAATGTTCCTCACTTCACTGCTTGTAATATCAAGTTTGAAAACTATACGAATGTCCATAAAATGGGGAACTAGTTTAATCTGTCATATTTCATGCATGTGATATAGCATTATGTACCTGGTTTTAAAAAGTGGTGTGGTTCTCAGTACTAATATGTCAAGTAGAGCAGTATGTATGTGTCTTGCCATTGCATCCATGTGTAGAAAGGAGGCCATGGTGTTCCACCCAAATCCCCCTGATAGACTGGCTGGTGCTTTTCTGGGATTGTCCCAGGCCACAGGGAGCTGCCCTACCCAGGGCTGTCCTCCCTCCTTGGGGCAGTCTATGATCATAAACTAGTTGCCTCCATTCTCAAAAATGCTGAAGGCCACCCCACCTCTAGAGTATTTTATAAGATCAGCTGAGGCCTCTGTTCAAAACTCCCTCTGCCCAATCCTGCTTCTTTCACTGCCTTACAGGTGTTCCAAGGGCTACCCCAAAAAGTTCCTGTGTGAAAATCTCCTTCTCCAAGTCTGTTTTCCTGAGAACTCAGTCTATGACAAAGTGTATATGCTTACAATACATACTTTTTCTATGACAGTTTCCCCAAGAAAGGAAACTGAGCTACTTAATGTCATCCTCACCTGGGACTCAATCATCTTCCGCTCTTCTTGACCTGTGAAGACAGAGACTGGGAGAGCAGAATGGAGAAAGAGAAAACAGAAAATAGAGCTGTGAGGGATTAGTGCTGTCTTGGAACTTGCAAATTCTCTATGTAAATCTTATATATCTATGCTCTAAATCACTGTGGTACAAGAAATAAAGGTACCATCCAACCTAAACATGAACACATAACACAGACCATTCAGGAAGTAAAAGTTGCTACTAAGAAATAACTGCAAGTTTTAAAAAACAAATATCCTTAAAACTTAAAGAATTGGGCCCAAGCATATACTGGACAAGGACTTGTATAACTTTTAGGAAAATATTACAAAGAACCTAAAGCAAAGTAAAATAATGGTGTAACATTAGTAAGATATATTCAAATTATGATCACAAATAATTACTAAAAGACTAAACTAATAGTGTCATCAAAAAATAATTTTTAGGCTCAGCACCTGTAGCTCAAGCGGCTAAGGCACCAACCACATATACCTAAGTTGGTGGGTTCAGATCCAGCCCAGGCTGCGAAACAACAATGATGGCTGTAACCAAAAAAAAAAATAGCTGGGCATTGTGGCAGGCGCTTGTAGTCCCAGCTACTTGGGAGGCAAAGGCAGGAGAATCACTTGAGCCCAGGAGTTGGAGGTTGCTGTGAGCTGTGATGCCACAGCACTCTACCCAGGGTGACAGCTTGAGGCGCTATCTCAAAATAAATAAATAAAATAATAATAATAATTTTCAGCAGATGAGAACAACTATGTTACTTTTAACCAAGATGTTTAAGAAATAACTGTATGGAGCGGCACCTGTGGCTCAGTGGGTAGGGTGCAGGCCCATATACCGAGGGTGGCAGGTTTCTGAAGCCCACCCTGGCCAGCTAAAACGGCCTTGGCATCGTGGTGGGCACCTGTAGTCCTAGCTACTCGGGAGACTGAGGCAAGAGAATCACTTAACCCCAAGAGTTGGAGGTTGCTGTGAGCTATGATGCCATAGCACTCTACCGAGGGAGACAGAGTGAGACTCTGTCTCAAAAAAATAAAATAAAATAACTGTATGGCTTAACAAATTATAAAAGAAAAAGAGTAAATCCTAGTATAAGACTATAAATAAATACTGTGCAATGTATTTGCATATTTAATGTTAGATCTGTATTCAAATTATCAATAGAATAACATATGACTTTAAAAATTAGGCAGCATCTGTGGCTCATTGAATAGAGTGCCAGCCCCATATACCGAGGGTGGCAGGTTCAAACCTGGCCCTGGCCAAACTGCAACAACAACAACAAAAAAATAGCTGGGCATTGTGGTGGGCGCCTATAGTCCCAGCTACTCAGAAGGCTGAGGCAAGAGAATCGCCTAAGCCCAAGAGCTGGAGGATGCTGTAAGCTGTGACGCTATGGCACTCTACTGAGGGTGACAAAATAAGATTATCTCTAAAATAAATAAATAAATGAATAAATAATAAAAATAAGGTCTTTTGTGTCTGCGCTCCCTTAGTGACCTGGGCTGATGTCAACCCAACTAGAAAAGCCTTATGTTTCATGCTAGCACTCAGATTATGATCTCTCCCACTAATTTTCACTTAAAAGAATTGGAGCTCCTTGCAAAAAGGCTAAGTTTACATCTGCAGCAAAAAATACAAGATGTGATACCTCCGCAATCTGGAGAGTGCCAGAAAGCAAGGACATGTCTTCAGCAGATGAGTCCTGGCAAGGGGTCAGAGAAACCATCCTTGAGGATGTAACCATGCAAGGTAAAGTGTGAAGAGAAAACGGACCGTATCTACAGAAGCTAACCATAAGAATACCTACAGCCCAGTGGTTCCACATGAGTGCTATGTTCACCAAATTTTAACCTATTAAAACCTATAAATTTGTAGTGATATTTAAAAAAAAAATCACAATATTAAAAATTCTTTTCTCTTAAAAAAATTGGAATTCTGATTAGATATGACTACCTTAAGATGGGACTCCCTATTTCTGAAATATCCATGTGTTAGGAAATATGGAAATAAATTGGTACAAAATATTAATGAAGAATGTTCAAATTTTTCATTCATTCATATGGGTCCTATGAACATGCTGTGTCAGAATTTATAGGCTGGAAGTAAAAAGTCACAGCTAAGGGCAGCAGGAGCTCCCACACATGGCTGGTGGGGCTGCAAACTGGTTCAACCATTTTAGAAAACTACTAAAGCTAAGCACAAAATCCCCTATGTCCCAGTAGTTCTACTGCATAGCAAATTACTCTCAGAGGTTTCTTTACATAATCATGAGTAATCCCTCGGACAGTAATCAGTGACTGCCCTATTCTTACATAGTTGGTGGGTTCTGAGTTTCTTCTGGTAAGAAAATTTATCAGAAGAGGTTGAGAAAAATAGGCCATAGCTGGAAAAATAAATTTTATTTAGTTGTATATTTTCAAGTGTCAAGTATGAATGAGAAATTAAAAATGATTTATTCAGGCTAGGTATGGTGGGTCATGCTTAAAATTCTAGCACTTCGGGAGGCCCAGTCAGGAGGATTGATTAAGGCCAGAAGTTTGAGACCAGACTGACCAACACAGAAGACCCTGTCTTTACAATAATAAAACATTAGCTGCGTGTGGTGGTGTATGCCTATAGTTCCAGTTACTCAGGAAGCTGAGGCAAGAGGATCATTTCAGACCAGGAGTTGGGTTGCAGTGCACTATGATGACATCATTGCACTCTAGCCTGGTCAGTAGATTGAGTCATTGTCTTAAAAGAAAAAAAAAAAGGACATTCTGATTGTAATGCATGTCAAAGATCTCAGTAATAAGTATCCCTAAATATTAAGCTTGTCCTCACAGCATGCTCAGCACTGAAAAAGAGAAATCTCTGAAATATTATCATCTTCCACCTGAAAGAATAGCCATCATAACTGGACAGCTAGAAGTAAACTTTCTTTGTAGCAAAGGTTAATAACACAGCTGGTTCACTAGATCAAACTACTTCAGTGTGACGGTTGATGACCAAGGTCCTGACAAAATGAATTACTTAAAACGAGGAAGAATTATATTGCTTAATCATATTGGTAAAACCTGTTGTTTGTTTTACTTGTAAAACAATACTATTGCAATAGCTGATGAAGTTCAGTTATATTGGTAAGAGGAAATAGATTCTCTGAAAGGAAGAAATTATACAAAGAGCCCAACTGAACTTATAAAAAAGAATGTGACTAAAATTATGAGTTTCTTAAGGAAAATGAATAGCTTCCAATTAATATAGTAATTACCAGAAGGCACTATTTTTTTTTTTGCAGTTTTTGGCCGGGCCTGGGTTTGAACCCACCACCTCCGGTATATGGGGCTAGTGCCCTACTCCTTTGAGCCACAGGCCCCGCCCAAAGAACTAGTTTTAATAGTATCTTTATATTGTAGAAAAAATTATTTCAAAATGAATCATTTACCCAGCTTTGTTTTATAGAAGTCCTTTCTCACTAATCTACTAATAAGTCATTATTTAAAGAAGGGAACAGGCTGGGCACCCGTACCTCAGTGATTAGAGTGCCACCCTATGCATCCTGGGTGGTGGGTTCAAACCTGGCCCTGGCCTGCTATACAAAAAAATAAAAATAAAGAGGGGAATAATTCTAGAGTGCTGGAAATATTCTCTACCAGGATCTCAAAAGTGGGTATAAATACCAAAAAATACATAGGGCAGCAACTGTGGCTCAAAGTAGTAGGATGCTGGCCTCATATACCAGAGGTGGTGGGTTCAAACCCAGCCCCAGCAAAAAAAAAAGAAAGAAAAAGAAAAATTCATAATACTAGAGTGCAAAATGATTTACTATTTTACTTTTCTCTTAGTAAGCAATACATATCCTTTATCTCTCATTTTTTTCAAATGCTTTGAAACACTATATAGGTCATAAAGCTTAAGAAAGCATGGTTAGGCTCAGCACCTGTGGCTCAAGTGGCTAAGGCACCAGCCACATATACCTAAGGTGGTGGGTTCAAATCCAGCCCGGGCCCGCCAAACAACAATGATGGCTGCAACCAAAAAATAGCCAGGCGTTGTGGCAGGCACCTGTGGTCCCAGCTACTTGGGAGGCGGAGGCAGGAGACTCGCTTGAGCCTAGGAGTTGGAGGTTGCTGTGAGATGTGATGCCACAGCACTCTACCCAGGGGGACAGCTTGAGGCTCTGTCTCAAAAAAAAAAAAAAGAAAAAGAAAGCATGGTTAGTATGAAAGCGGCATTTAATTATCACATCACTAATGGAAGAAACTAAGCAGTGAGCTTAATGTGCCTTTAAAATTTTTTTTTCTTAGGCTGGGCACAGTGGCTCATGCTTATAATCCTACCACTCTGGGAGGCCAAGGCAGGTGGATTGCTTGAACTCAGGAGTTTGAGACCAGTCTGAGCAAGAGCAAGACCTCATCTCTATAATAATAGAAAAATTAGCCAGGTTTATAGCGGGCACCTATAATCCCAGCTACTCTAGAGGCTCAGGCAAGAGGATCACTTGAGTCCACAAGTTTAAGGTTGCTATGAGCTATGATATAACAGCACTCTACCAAGGATGACAAAATAAGAATTTGTCTCAAAAAATAAAAAAAATTATTGAGGTATAATTTACATACAAAAAATAAGTGTCAGCTGGTGCTGTAGTTCATGCCTGTAATCCTAGTGCTCTGGGAGGCTGAGGCGGGTAGATTGCCTGAGCTCACAGGTCAAGACCAGCCTGAGCCAGAGCAAGAGGCAAAAAAAAAAAAAAAAAAAAAAGCAGGGCATTGTGGCAGGAGTCTATAGCCCCAGGTACCTGGGAGGCTGAGGCAAGAGAATTGCTTGAGCGGAAGAGTTTGACGTTGCCGTGAGCTATGACACCACAGCATTCTACCAAGGGTGACAAAGTGAGACTGTCTCAAAAAAATAAATAAATAAATAAAACAAGTCTCTTTTGATATATATATTCACCCATGTAACCACCACACAATCAGGGTATAAAACATTTCCATCACCATGGAAAGCTCCTTTATAACCTTTCTCCATGAGTCTTTTGTTAAAGTATATCTGTTCACAAGAAATAATTACAAATCTGTCTCAATGATATTAAGATTAACTACTTAAGATTCCTGTCACTTCTGCAGGAGAAATAAAAAGTGATCTTCCTAAATGTTAAATAAAATAAAAATACTTCTTTGCTTAATTAAAGTATTAGTTAAGTTATACCAGTAAGTCACAAAAGTAGTTATCTGGGTGATGGGTACATATATGAAAAAATTCATTAAGCAAAATGCTGTTTTCTATACAAATTATATCTCAATTTCTTAAAAAACTGAAAAAAGTTATAATCACATGATTTTATAAATGTGTAGAAAACTTTTTGTTTGAATTACAAAAAATATTAACAGTGGCTCAACTTGGGAAGCAGAATGTTTCTTACTCTGCAATTATCTCACACACACACACACACACACACACACTTCATTATTTACATATTCATCATCCTGAACTGGCAAGAAGCCTGGGATCCAGTAAGCTGGGGCAGTTAATCTCACTTCTTTGCCTAAGAGAGTATGCTACCTTCCTCACTTCCCTGGGCTTATTTATTCATCCTCTGGCAAGGTTCAAGTCAAATAGGGGTGTGACAAATGTTCTGGCCTGCAAGAACAAAGGCCTGTGCTCTGGCCCTAAGTCTGTGACCATCTAGGTCTGTAGATGAGTAAATAATTTCCTTCAACTTTAAATGAGACAGCAGAATCAACAGATGCCAAAACCATTGGTAAAAGCTGGATGAGAAATAGTTATACAGCACAAGCTCCTCCTCAGATATTTAATAATTATAAAAGTAAACCTAGTACTTTTACCCTAGAAAAACTTGGTAGTCACCTTAATCAAGTGATCAGTTAATATGACTTGAGTAACTGATACAAGTAATAAGATACATGACACTATGTGCCTCCTGATAAGATGTACTACGAAGGGCACAATATCCTTTCTGTGGTTCTCATGACCCCCAAATGCATACCTGAACTTAATCATGAGGAAATGTCAGATAAAACCATATTGAATGACACTATAAAAATAACTGACCTATGCTCTTCAAAAATGTTGACTTCATGAAAGACAAAGACTGAGGAACTGCTCCTGATTAAAGGAGACTAACAGATGTGTCATCTAAAGGCAGCATATGATCCTGAATTGGATCCTGGAATGGAAAAAGAAAAGTTGCTATAAAATGACATTATTAATTGACACCTGAATATAGGTTTTGGATTAGTTTTTGTTTTTTTGTTTCTGGGGTTTTTTTTTTTTTTTTTGAGATAGAGTCTCACTCTGCTGCCCTGGGTAGAGTGCCATGGCATCGTAATTCACAGTAACCTCAAACTCCTGGGCTCAAGTAATCCTCAGAATCCCAAGTAACTGGAACTACAAGGGCACCACCATACCTGGCTAACTTTTCTATTTTTAGTAGAGACAGGGTTTCACTCTTGCTCAGGCTTTAATGAATTTTTCTACCAGGACTTTATAAGGAACTGATTAGTGGAGGTCAAACATGCCATGCTTAAAAAATACAGGCCAAGGCAAAAAGCCTCTTAGAACACAGTAAATTCCACATTGTTTCTCATCCTTCAATAATTTATTTTTAAGTTAATCCTACATAAAACTATTTTCCAAAAACTCTGTTTGCTCTGTCAGCTAAATATTTTACATTATCATTTGAGATACTTACTCAGTAAACTCTTTTTTTTTTCCAACCACAGGCAAGGTCACATCCATCTTAGCTGCCATGGAGTCAGAACAGATTTCCAGAAATCAGCCTCACTCTTAGGATGCTGTCAAAATGGGCATGTCATTACCTTTACTAGAAAGAACCTTAAAGGAAACATTAGGAGAAATATGCATTAGATCCTTGATAAGAACAATGGAAGCCATATGTTTAATAACCTGTTCTTTTAGGCAAGTATTCCATGTTTTCAAGTCATTTTCTAATTTACTGTGTGAAAAGTTAAAAAGGGGGAGAGTTTCAAAAAAGAGTTTGGAGGTGAACCTTGGCCAAGAGGAACGGGCTACTTGTCAGATAGAAAGTATCACGTGGATGAAATGTGTTCCTATTATGTTGGGTTGCAGCCTCAAAGCCCTAATTTTCCCATGCCCAATCTCTGAATTTCACGAGCCTCCTCAACACCAAGCCCTCTAAAAGCCTCCTAATCGGGAGGCGCCTGTGGCTCAGTGAGTAGGGCGCCAGCTCCGTGTACAGAGGATAGTGGGTTCAAACCCGGCCCCGCCGAACTGCAACCAAAAAAAATAGCCGGGTGTTGTGGCGGTGCCTGTAGTCCCAGCTACTCCGGAGGCTGGGGCAAGAGAATCACCTAAGCCCAAGAGCTGGAGGTTGCTGTGATCTGTGACACCAAGCACTCTACCAAGGGTGGTAAAGTGAGACTCTGTCTCCAAAAAAAAGGAAGAAAGCCTCCTAATCATAGCCGCAGATAGTGTCCCCAATCACAGCCCCCATTTTTCAGCCCACAGAAGTTCTCATAGTTACTGGTATGTCCATATGTCCAATCTGACTTGAGAGACTACCGGTTACTTAATTTTACAAAGTTCACTGAATCCAATGTGATTGACAAACAGTGAATTACACAGATCATAATCACAAACCCACACTGATCTTCAGTGAGATCTCAACAACTGGGCATCAAATGATAACCCCACAGTACCCAATTATGGATACACAACTGACAGTCCCAATCACTGATCCTCATTGATCCCTCTATTCCCCAGGCCCTTATCTCCAAAAGACCAATCAATATCTCAGATTCTCCACTGATTAAGATAAGGGAAGTCTCAATAACTGATGGTCCATAGTATTTTGCAAACATTGATTTCCACTGACTCCCTCATCACTGAATTAACCTCTCACTGAACCCCAAAGTTTCCACAATCACCAATTCCAGTACCCAAACTATTACTGCCCACATAACTTAGAACCTCCAATCACTGAGCCCTAATACTCTTCAAATCAGCGTCTTTGAAGAACCTCATTTGGCTCCAGACTCAGCACCCTGCCAATCAAGACACTTCATAGAACTCTTAATTTATTGAATCTCACATATTCTCAATCCACGGTCTTCAGAAAGACCCCGCCACCACGGAGCCCCCACAAGGTTCAGACGCCCAATCACTAATCGGTCAGCCCCTTCGTTATTGACCCTTACGAGCATCCTTAATTGACCCAGTAGAGCCACCGTAGTCTCCCGGTCACCATTCTCCACTGGCTCAGGGTTTGACCATTTCTCAAATCAACCCTGCATATTTATCCTGTCTCCGCGCCCTTAACCCGAAATTCATCGCCCGACCACACCGCCTCACCGCGGTATAAGCGCTTCTCGTTCCGAGGGCCGGTGCGCAGACTCAGTCGTGACTTTAAGGCTGTCGTCTGCCGTTCCCCGGCAACCTTCCACAGAACAGGATTCTGGGTTTATTTGTTTTTTTAAGCGCTGTAATGAAAGTATGATGGCCGCCCCCGGCAACCTCTTGCTGGAAGCGGCCATGTCTAAAGCTGTGCCGTACAAAGGATGCCCAAGCCCTTTGCTAGTCCAGAAGATGAGACTATCTTAGGGCAGAGAGAAGCAAGTGTGCCTGGGTCCCTAAACATCGCCGCTATTAGCTAGACAGTCTCAGACGCCGAAACCTCCCGACACCAATATGGCGGCGCCCGAACCTCGAACTCGAACTTTCTTTGTCTTCAGCTGTTCAGTAAGATGGCCGTGTACATTTTTAACTCGTCTTGAGTGCAGTGGTTGATCCTCAGCTAGGAGGCGCTCCTGACGACTAAATAAAACTTCTTCCGAGTAAGCTGCAGGAATTACAGAGCGCCAACTAAACTCGCTCCTCTCTTGGAGAAACTGAGGCGGCCTGGGGAAGAGGCGTGGCTTCATGGAGAGGGCGGAGCCGCCGCAAAGGGAAAGCCTGTGGAGTACCTTTACATTCTCAGCTGTACTTCAAAGAAAATGTCGGGGACAGGATATTTAACTAAAGTAGATTGCTCTAAAAGCCGACCTGTGGCAAGAGAATCAGTGCAGGCTCGGCGCC